TTCTTGAATACCTAGAAGTGATCTAAGATTTCGAAAGAGTTTAATCTTACCACCTTAAGTTGAGTCTTGAAGGTTGAAGAATAAATCCAAGAGTAGCCGCACACAAGAGTGCAAGAAAAATCTCACAATTTTTATTGATAATAGTCTAAGTCTAAAAGCAAAGAAGATACCCCTTTATATAGGGAAGGGGTCACGAAATTCTACCTAAAAAAACAAGGAAATAAAGTCCTAAACTACTTTGGACAACATGTCCAACTACCATAGGAAAAGGTAAAACTCTAGGAAACAAAAACCAAGTCAATCTTGAAAAGTAATTCCAATAATCTTAGGAAAATAAAAACAAAACCTTAACTACCTAGGAAAGCACCAAATATGTCCTAACAAACTAAGAAACAAAATAAGGAAACTTGGGGGCCAAGTTGGCTCCTTTGTGAGTTGATTTAGGAGCCTAATTTAGGCCCTCCTTGGCTGGTCCTTGGACCCCAATCAACTTCCTCTTGGGACTTGGACTTGGACCATGAAATGAGTGTAGCACTTAGCTAAATCCTCTCCATAATTTTGAGCTCTTCTTCCACCATTAGCGCCTTCTTGATCTCCCATTGAAGCCCAACAACCTTGTCTTGCTTCTCCTTAACTTGAGACCTTGTGAATGGCTTTCTTGGTGCTTCTACAGCTTTATCCTTGTCCATGAAGCTATCAGAACCGCAATGATGAAAACACTTTTCCTCTCTTCTTACCTTTGTACTTCTTTTTTGCTTATTAGCTTTTCTTTTTAGTGATCACTATGTCTTTCTGCTTGGGTACATTTGCTCTATTACTCTTTCCGGTGGGTTTGAACTTCAATTTTTGCCTCCTGCCTAGTCTATTAACTAATTCTGCATATGCATGCTCTTATTTTGTGGATATTGTTTTTTGCGAATTTAATTTTCAGAAATTCGTCATGTAAGATGTGTTAGCATTTCAATGATTAGATCATATACAATTATAATACTTCATGTTGTGGCTCTAGCATTATTGATATGTTTCACAGGAGCGTCTTTGATACGAACTATGAACCAAAACACGGATATGACAAAATACACGGAATCAACAATAAGAGCTCGACCTACAATTGATTGGAAGAACAAGAACCAATTAGGCTCTGAAGCCTAATTACCTCTATGAACTCAATCAATTGTAACCCTAAGCTATGAAAACCCTCAAGAGATTGACAACTCTTGAAAACCCGGATAAAGTAATTAAGCAATTAAGCATTCACTACTAATTGCTGACCAACTAAGACTAATTTAGCACTAATGAAAGCATAAACAAAGCAATAAAGGAATTAATGGCATAAACATAAATGCATTAATTAAAAGATAAGGAAAGAGTGTGAGACTTGCATGTCTTCAAGTTTTATCATTCCTCAAGTCTAATTCTAAAGGCACTAATGCTTAGCTATTTATACTATTGCTATTTTAGGTACAAGGAATTCCTAAAATAGCCCTAAAGAGTGACTTATAATGCAAATTAGCCACTTTGGGTAGACCTACTCCAAGTTCATCCTCTTGCCTCAATTCTTGGTCTTCAAACCATTGGAACATTGTAATGTGTATGAGACTTCTCTAAAACTCCTTCGGATGCTTCAAGATTCATAATCAACAATCCAAGATCTTGCAACTCCTTTGCTTGGCTTCTTGTGAATGGTCTAGATGAAATAGGTGAATGTCGGGGTGTATCATCCTCCCCCCTTAGAAAAATTCGCCCTCGAATTTGCACCATCATTACCTACAACACAAGGACTCAAGTCACTAACATTAAGGACATCATGAACAAGGAGATCATTAGGAATATCAATCTTATATGCATTATCATTTATCCTTTCAAGAACTTGGTAGGGACCTTCTCCCCTAGGGAGAAGTTTGTTCTTTCTCTTTTGAGGAAATCTTTGCTTCCTCAAGTGAGTCCAAACCCAATCACCGGGTTCAAATATCATCCGCTTTCTTCCTTTGTTGGCCCAGAAGCCGCTTTGTCATTCATTTTCTCAAGTTGATGTCTTGCCTTCTCATGAATCTTCTTCATAGCCTAGGCCCTTTTTTTGGCATCTAAACTAACAATCACATCTTGAGACAAAGGAGTTAGATCCAAAGGGGTGAGGGGATTAAAACCATACACACATTCAAAAGGAGTCATGCCAATAGAAGAATGATAAGAACGATTATATGCAAACTCAATCAATGGTAAATGCTCCTCCCAAGAAGTAAGCTTCCCCTTGACCATGGCCCTAAGCATGTTACCTAAGGTCCTATTGACCACTTCGGTTTGGCCATCGGTTTGGGGG